TGCGTCCTGGAGATTGCGTCATACAAAATGGTGCAAATAGCGCTGTCGGCCAGGCGGTGCACCAGTTATGTAAAGCATGGGATATAAAGTCAGTTGGCATAGTACGCGATCGCCCAGATATTGGGCCCTTAAAAGATTATTTAAAGTCACTTGGCGCAACTGAAGTACTAACCGAAGAAGAAATTCGCGCGAGTCCGCTATTCAAAGAAAAACATTTGCCAATACCGCGACTAGCCTTTAATTGTGTGGGTGGTAAAAGTGCCACTGAGGTAGCACGTCATTTGGAAGATAAAGGTGTAATGGTCACCTATGGAGGTATGTCGCGCGAACCGGTTGTCGCCAGTACAGCTGCCCTCATTTTCAAAGATATAGCATTCCGCGGTTTTTGGATGACCCGCTGGACGAAGGAAAACTCTGATTCGCCGCAACGTATAGAAATGTTCAATGATTTGTGTGAAATGATCGAGCAGGGAAAGTTCGCCGCCCCGGTCCATGAGATGGTACCATTGCAGAAGTTTAGAGAAGCAATGGCAGCAGCTATGAATTTTAAAGGTTTCACCGGCAAGAAGTTTATATTGGACTTGCAGAATTAAAAGATATTTATAGTGTCTTCTTTTATGTTCAATATCGTTTGTTATCTTTTTACATATTTGCTTATCCAACCTTCGGAAAAAAATGTAGTATGTATGCATGATTCAATAATTAACAAAGTAGACTGTTTTCAATTCTTAACATTAAAAGATCTATAACTTATAATGGGTAAGAGAGCATCTGAAATTCTTATTGTATCAGCGTATTGTTCTGGGACTTCTGCAATTTTCGTCCTTAGCCAACTTATATAAAAGTTTATTTCCACAGAAGTATTAAAAGACGGACCATGCGACAAGATAAGCAGACTGATAGTTGTTGTTGTAACAGCTTATAGATTTCCCAAAGAGGCTTTGGGGAGTGTTGCTGGAGTGACAGTCCTTAGCCAGACTGTCGCGAGCTGTTATTGTATCATTGTATCAGTATAAAAATTCCCCGAAGAGTTTTTGTGGAGTGTTACTGGAGTGACCGTCCTTGGCCAGACGTACACCAGACTGTCGTAGGTACGATGCTTTGGCTTAGGTGCGTTTCTTTATTGAATCAAACTTTAACATTCATATTTCCATAGTATTTATTGTAGTAAACATATTTAATCAAAAACCTACATAAATCCAGCACTTATTCGTAATTTTTTTATTTATAAAAAGAACTTTCATTAATTTCCAATTTCAACTGGATTGCCAGATTCTGTATTGTAAAATACTCTTCGCTCGATACCATCCTCTGTGATTATGCCAATACGAACCACACCACCTGAGCTGCCATCATGATAGATAGCATGTTTTACAGCCTTCACCACAAAGGCAACACAATCTTCCTTGCTCATTTGCGGACGATACGATTCACGAACGAACCCATAAATGTAGCTCGAACCAGAACCACCAATTGTTACTGCTTCGCGCTTCAACATGCCACCCAATGGTATGGAGTACACTTGTCCGCCGTTTCTTTTATCCCAACCAGCCACAATAATGCCTGCCAGCAAGCTGTCACGATAGTTGTAGCAATAGTTGCGGAATTCTGATGCAGCCTCAGCAACCAATGGTTCTTCACCAGTTTGATTTTCATGGTAATTCAGGGAGTAAGAAACAATATCAGCGATTGCTTGTGTATCAGCGGCGGAGCCACTACGGCAACAGTAGATTTTGTCTGTAATGCGAGTTAATTTATCTGTGACACGATTGGCCACAAAGAGCCCAGTGCTGGTGCGGGAATCTGCGCCGATGATTACGCCTCCATCAAATTCAACTGCCATGATGGTTGTGCCTGTACTAACGGCATTGTCGTGGATACCATAATCCTGTGAGAAATCCATGCTATTTTACTGATTTATTTGAAAATTTTAACACGGCGGCTGAGAAAAACAAAAAATGTTGCTTTCCTCCGGTGACTGGGTATATTTTAAATTGACAGCAGCTGTCAAATGATTAGTCATGCCCAGGGCACGGATCTCATAAAATTAATTTTGGTTGATTTTACACACAAAAGAAGCTCGTAGATTTTTTAAAACGAACAATACGGGCCCTGTCACACGGTCAGTAATTATCACGATATTTGGATCGCGATCCATATTGATGGATTGATGGATCGCGCACGAATGCTACATGTTCAAAATTTATCGCGTCAGTATTTGCATAATTTTTGTGCTGCACGCTTATTATATCGCAAGAAAATATTTTTATTTTATACGAATAATTTACAGATAATGCATTCCATAATTATTTTAAAATTTCCAATGCTAATTTAAATACTTTCAATTTGTTTTGAAAGGTTTTGAGCGCCGAGAGCGAACATGTTTTTGATGTTCGCATTATGAGAGTACAATATATACTGACGAAATATATGGATCGCGTTTTGAAAATGCTAAACGTTCAATATTTATTGACGGTATTACGATCCGCGACCCAGATTTCAAAATTATTAGAAATTTTGCGATGTAGACACTGTTGTCAACTTAGTGCTTTTCGCACTAAATTTAGTGCTTTTCTTAATTCAAAACGCGAAAATTTTTGAGTTTGGTGCTTGGTGCGTTTTTAGTGCTTTTTTTTAGTTTGAAGACACCAAAACTGTAAATCTGAAACATAATGGAAGTTAAATTTAGAGCAATTGCAAGTTTCGTAAGGAACTTTACATAAATGAAAACAAAATCACGGCACAATGACAATCATAAGCGAAAGGTCCTATGTTTGTCAAATAAATATGTGGTAGAATTTTAAATCATGCCAGAATTACATACGATAATTTGCCATTGCCTGTAAAAACGTCCATGTTGCTGAGATCAGGAATAGATCTTTAGACCTTTTATTCAGCCTGAATTTGTTATCTTTTCTACGAATATTACAACAAGCACCAGCATCTCCTAACAGTAAAATGAATAACGAACCTTCGACCGCCGAGGAAGAAATATTAAATTTTTTTAATTTGAATCGACATACCTACAATAAAATTTTGTATGCATACAAAGTCAATTGAATCCTCCAATAAAAAATTTGGTGATTTTTTTCTAAAAAAAACGCGATTTTTTTTGGGTTTTAGAGCTTTTTCAAATTCAAAACTTTGGCAACACTGGATGTAGATCACGATCCAACAATATTGTAGGCTCCGTCAATAAATATCGCCTTATCAGATAGTTTTTATTCAAAAACATGGCGAATTCATAAAAGGTGGTGTTACAAAAGCAGCTGGATATTCGCCTGCGTGGTTCTTAATGTCAAAATGATGTATTTGCTGTAATTATTACGCGCATTGTAACATTTTTTAGTATAAGCTCCTATTATGAATCCATACGACACACGATAAACGTATGCATTCAGTTGTACCGTATTACGAATTAAATTGTGGCGTATGAAGTTCGATAGGTATCGTACAAGAAAAGGACTGCTGGTAAAATCTCCATGTGTGAAAAGGACGCATAGTCACATGTACCTAAAAGAACTGGTCAGGTTTTTTATATTACCCCTGAATTTCTGATGAGGAAATTGCAGCTTTACTGCATCAACACTGACCGTCAGGTGACTGGCCATTTGCCAGTAAGATTTCTTGTAGGGTACCATTTATCGTATATCGGTATTACCATACGATAGCTATCGTATCAGCTGTTCAATTTCTTAAGGGCCATTCACATACAACTTTCTTCGCTTTGCTTGACAGTTCAAACTTTGACAACAAAGCGTGAAACGCAGAAGGTATGCTACAATAAACGCTTTGACAGCTTTTGCGTTCTCCTTTTCCTCCATATATTTTATCTGTAAAATAGATAACAATATAATAATATGCATTGATAATAGCAATAATAATTCCTATTTACCCTATTTTTGTCATTAAACGCAAATGCAAGCGCACGAAAAAAGATACATGTAGACAGCTGATTGCCAAAGCGGGCAAAAGTTGAGAGTTGCCCAAGATTTTGCTTCGTTCTGCTTTGCTTTGCTTCAAACGTTTTTTATGTGAGCATACTCATGCATATGCCCACGATTGAGAGAATACAAAGGTTGCGCCGATCTCGGACCGCTATTCCTCTCTTAACGAATTTGACAGAATCGTTGTTTGCATGACGTCACACTGGTGCAACTTGTTTACATTTTTCTTGCAACATTTTTTCTTCTTCTTCCATTCTTGCTCACGTTTTGGCATTTCTCTCTCGCAATGCACCAGTGTGACGTCACAAAAAGTTATTCTCAAAAATCCTCTCTGATCGGCGCAATCTTGTATTCTATCATTCTTGGCATATGCCTACATCGATCTTATATGTCAAAGCAAAGAACTAGCGAGCAAAGCGAAGAAAGTTGTATGTGAATCAGCCTTTACGCTTGCAAGCGGTTGTCCAGTTTTACACATGATTCAATAATACAAGGTTAGATAATTATTGACAGCTGCGGTTTGACACTCCCTTACAAAAGGTTGCATTTACGAAGAACGGAGAAAAGGGGAGGAATGAAATCTCTTGGTGCGAAAATGGTAGTAGAAAAGTACGAAAAGAAGGCAATTAGTAGTGAAATTCCTTTTGTAAATTCTAATGTATTTGCAGGAAAGCTGGCATTTTAATAGAAATGTTGAACGTAATATTGATGTATCTATGTGAATTATGTAATTTATGTGCTATTTAGGTGTATAAAAACTGCAAGACGACTCAAAATTAAAATAAGACTACTATGAGATTGATGTAAACATCCGATTTAAAAACAATTTATGTTTTCATCAGTTAAATGTGCTTCATATGCCAATACAAATAAACATATTGCACAAACGCTCATACTTCTATTTCATACCAAAGCTACACTGTTTCCATGTGAATGTGCAAAGAAGCAACACGGTGCCCCTGCTAAGGGAGCGGTGCGAGAGAGGCAACTGTCAGTTTATCGAACCTTGTATTGATGAATTATGAGTTTTACACGATACGATACAATTTAACAAAATTAAAGTGATGTAATGTAATGAATAACACAAAATTATGGAAACGATTTGAACAAAATACTGACATTTTTCAGGGAAAAATTACGAGAAAAAAAAACAAAGTTGAGCGTATTGCTTCTCCAAGGGGTACGGTCTAGTTATTTGTACTTTAACATACACGTGTAGTCAAAGGATTGAGCTTTAATTTAAAGCTAAGATTTCAAATTTCCACGCACTGGTTTATTGATAAATTCCTTTTGAAGTATGTACATTTTTATAAACACAGTAGAAACCTTATGCCTGGGTTATAATGGAAGTAACGGAACGGAGTGAACTGTCACTTAATTATCTATTGTATGGGAAATTAATGCAAATTGTTATAATGCACGTAAACGTTACGTAAAACGGAACAATCTAAAATTAATAGATCCTTATGGGCTGTTTTTGCTTACGCGTAAAAGCACATTTAGCGCATTTAGCTCTAATGCAGCGTTTTTGCTGCATTTAAAATGCAACATTTAGCACTTTCGAACATAAGTTTTCGAAGAGCGTTCATGCTTTCGCATTTAGCAAATGTACATTTACGCGAGTACGAAATCGTATGCTTTTGACACACAGCCGTGTTCCAGTCGCTTATTCAGATCCGTATCTATTACGAACAATTCTCACGCAGAAGATAATGTGCAAAAACCTTACTGAAAAGGAAAAAATAAATTTTAAACCAAAAATTCAATACAAAAACTTGAATTGTTTTAACCATAACCAAAAATTTGTTTGTGTATGTATTC